TTCAGCTTCGTCAATCTACTCCTTCAGCTTCCGCACCTCCTGCACGCCAGCTCCACCTCACGTTCGACTTGCGTGTCGCAATCTTGTCCCAGCCGTCGGCCTCAAAGTCCAGCTCGCCGCCATTTGCTCCCACTCCTCCACACGTCGTCGTCCTCTCGCCGTTGGACCGGTTGCGCTGGATCTCCTTGGCCGTGCGCGTTTCGGCGTAGGCCGCAATGAGAAGGACCGGGGAGTAGAAGACGGCCATGACGATGTCGTTGAGGTGCTCAAAGCGCTCCTTGGGCATCCACCAGCCGACCAAGGCAATGACGACCATCTCGACGAGGTTGAAGGGCGGGATGTACACGTTCTCGTCGGGTGCGCGCACAAACTGCATCGTCTTCTGCGCAAACAGGGCGAGGAACTCATCGTTGGCGTTCTGGTAAATGTCCTCGTACGCCGAGTTGTACAGCGCAATGAGAATGTTGAGCAGGATGACCATGACGATGAACGTGAAGAAGTAGTACAGAATGGTTCCAAACGGCGGCGAGAACTCGTCAAAGACGTCCATGTCGGGACTCTGCATGATGGCGTTGGCCATGGCCTTGAAAATGAGCGCATAGTCGTCGACGGCCATGTCTTCGGCAGCATCCAGTCCGACAAACGCCTGCAAGAAGCCAATGATCAAAACAGCCAGCAAAGCGAAGAAGATGATGGATTCCTTCATCATGACCTTGAGGACGACCAGCATGGCGCCGAAGAATCGGAAGGTGTCGAGGTACAGCAGGAGGCGGGACCAGAACAAGGGGGCGCTGAAGGCGAGGAAGCTGTAGCTCAGCTCATTGTAGTACTGGCGCGGGTCGTTCGTGTTCTTATCGTCGTCATGCCGCAGCGGGTGTGCGAGTGCGACCATGCGGAGGATGAAGGAAACGGTGACCAGCGAGTAGAGCACACCATTTAAAGCGTTCCAGAACCCGAGAATGTGACGGCCAGCCTTCCAAAACTTGGTCAACTCCTCGCAGATGAAACCGAGGGTGAAGACGTAGAGCAAGAGTTCAGCCACGTCGAGCTCGCCGCCGGGGTTGGGCGTGTTGACGGAGATTGTGTAAAAGACGAGGTAGATGATCGAGATGATGAGCTGCGTGGCATTCTGGAACATGGGCACGCGGATGCGGTCCGGATCGAGGTGGACGAAAAAGTCAATATTGTCCTTGTCCTTGTAGTCGACAAAGGTGGTCGGATCATCCTCATCCTGGACCAGCCAGCCCTTCCACAGATACGAGATGCACTTCTGGTAGCCCGAAGAGCCAATGACGCTGACGGCGTGGAGGTCGACGGCCTTTTCGATGACGTTGGCCGCGATGGTGGCCTCGCCGTCCACAATGATGGAGTATCGGTGCAGCAGGACCTGGTGGAGGAGGTAGTTGAGGTCGTCCTCGGCTTCGATGCTAAAAAGTCGCGAGTCAGCGGATGCCTGGAGCGAGAGGAAATTGACGGCCACGGGAAGCAAGCTCACATTCTCTTAGCAATGACTTCGCAAGCGGTGGAGCGAACGAGATGCATGTCGGCGTCCCAGAGCTCGACAAGAGCCTGGTGCTTGAACCACCGCTTACAGACCAGAAGTCCAAAGACGACACATGACCTGTGTTCAGTACCACCAGCCTCTTTGGCAGCCTTGATCACTTTGGTGGTGATGATACCGCTGTGGGCTTTGGTAATGTCGGCCTCGTCAAGCTCGCAGGGAATGGCGGCCTCGATCAAGTGACGCAGCTTCAGGGCGACTTTGGTGACATCGGGGGCCGATATGGCGGCTTCGGCCTGCTCATCAGAGTACCGAGGGAGGACTAGGTTTGGGTGATAGACCCTCTTGTAAGCGCGAGGCACTGCATTCGGACGGAAGGAAACAGGGGGGGAGCATGACGAGAACAGATTCGTTGTACTCATGGTCCACACAAGCGATCAAGAGGTAGTAAATGCGAAGGAGTTCAGGGTAGTCGTAGGGCTTAGGTACTTACGGCGTCGGCGGTCTTCGTGCCAGTCCGAGTGCTCGTCACTCCCGTGGGCGGGGTGACGATCCCATCCGAGGAGACGCGACACCCAGCCAGACCTGTTTCGAGGCATGACTGCTGGTGCTTGTGGTGGAGCTGGAGCTGGAGCTGGAGCTGCAGATACTCTTGCCGAGTGCTCTTGTCGCGCTCAATGGCAGCCGCAAAGAGGGAACGCGCAATGGCTTGTGCTCGTCAAGCGGAGGGAGAAGGAGCTTATCGGCAATTGGCAACGCGCGACAGAGCTTGGCCGTCACGTCAGGGAAGAGAAGGTGGAGGGGAGAGATCGAGGTCTTGACGAGGGGGCTTGGCCTGGGGTTTTTGTCCAACAGCTCGGTCGGATCTGCAGGAGCTTTCTGCACTGCCCCTGCTGTGGTTGTCTGAGCTGCCTTGATTTTGTTGGTGCTTTCGCTTTTTAGCGGCGTTCGAGAAGAGACAAGCTGGCGCGACTCCAGCTGAGTGAGGGTGCAAGCTTGTTCGTGGGCGCTGAGGGTGAGGTGGGAGCTCTGGCCCGAATCAGTCGCTCATGACG